TGGCATTTATTTTCTAAAATAATAATTAAGTTTATATTTAAATAAATTCACATGAGTCATATTCGCAAAACAACTTAAATTAATCTAACAAGCAATAGCATAAGTTAAAAATCATCCAATTACCTTAAATCTTTAAGAATTCAAAAGTTAGCCCTAACACAACTTACATCTCGAGCTGGGATTGAGCTCAAAACTCATATAACAATGATAATTTACAATTATCAACAACCAATATCACTAGAAAAAAAAAACTTAATTCTCACTTCCAACTCCTATACTCACATTTTCCTCACTCTAGCTTCCCATTCACAAGTTTAAATTTACAACCAAGGAGTTTATTAACTCCTTTTAACTCCCAATAGCTTAAATAACAATGAATATAATGCCTAACAACCCAAATTTCATTTAAAAGTGTTTAGGGTTCGTCCAAAACTTTAGACCTAAACTCATAACCTTGTAAATTTTAAAAAGATAGGTTTAGAAATGTTAAATGACTCTCATTAATCTCATTAGAACTAATGAGTTCAGACCCATTGCCCTCTAGGTTTGAAATCAACATCCTTAAAGAGAAACCCAAACTTAAAAAACATATGGAATAGAAGAGGAAGATGAAGAGAGATGATTACCTTGAGTGTTGAAGCTTAAATCTCCTTATATTGGCCTAAAAGGTGTGCCCTATTAGAGCCAAGCAACTCCTTCATCGTGCCTCTCTCAAACTCTTTCCTTTTCTTTTTGCAATTTGTGAAAACGAATTGTTGATTCAAAATTTTTAACCATCCATTGCAATACATGGTGCATTTACTACAGAGGATGGCACATAATAGACCAATTCAAATTTGCTCCTCAATCTTGGGCCTAAGTGGCCTAAAACACCTTTGGGCCCAACCCATAGGTTGTACCCATATTCGATAGATTTGTTAGTTATCACTAACCATCATTAAATCAATTAATACTAAATTTTGCTTAAATACCCTTGATTAACTAACTTAATCTTGGAATTATAAATTCATGATGTTACATGTTAGAAGTTTGACCCCATAATTGTGTCATGATAGCAAAAATGCTATCACATTCTATGTAGTATGTCACAGAGCAGGACACAAATAAGATCTCATCCCGATATGGTGTGACACTGACATGTTGTGGCAAAAACTTCTAAATGTTGAAAGATGACATTTTTACCCTTTTTCACTACTGTTCTCAAACCAAAGTTTGTCTCATGCTTCCAAACATGTTTGAAACTCTAATTTATGAATGATCAGGCCTTGATGTGCTTTGAACCACTTGCTATCTTGAGGCCCTAATGATCAATTTACTTATACTCTATCGTGATGGGTTTTAAGCTTTTCTAGTATACTTAGTAGCTATTAAAATAGTTTTAATTCTTTTTACCATGATAGAGTCTATTCTACCATAGCATGGTCTACTTGTTTGTGTTTATTTCAGTACAAATTATAAGTTTAATTTTATTAACTATAGTATACCTTAAATTTGGGTCTTTTCTTTTTGTTTTTTTTTTTGCTATGGTTAGCTCTTTTTAACTATAATTAATTTCTTTCTACCATGCTAAGGTTGCTAAACTGGTTAATGTTGAACCCTCATTTTAATAATTACAAAATAAAGAGAAGATTATGTTTTACAAGTTAATTAATTATGATAAAATAAGGGTAAAGTAATTAGCTAAGCATTTTAATATAATCTGATTTAAGTGGGTTAGCACTAGTACCTTAAATCTTGTACTCAATCAATTTTTAAACCTCATATCTCAAGAATTCTTATTCTCTATGAAATTGTAACTAAGTTAAGTATTTAACTTAACACTTTGAATCTTTAAATATCCTTCTAAAAGGTTTTCAAGCTAAGTCTTTTGTCAAAATTCATCTTCTGAATTTTAAAATCTACCTAAGTATTTTTAGCATTAGTACTGTGCTATTAGCATTGGTGCTATTCTTTCTTTAGCACCAGTAGTACTTTTTAACACCAGTAATACTTTCTAGCACTTGTACTACTTGTGTTTCTTTCATTCACTCTTTACAATTCTTTAGCACTTGTGCTAAATATCAATAGTAATACTATTTCTACTTTCTTTAAAAATTCTAAATGTTCTATTTACTAGTTTCACTGGTTAACACCTGTGCTATTTGATAGCATTGGTACTATTCTCTAGCTTTAATTTTCAAAGAGTTTGGTAACACTTGTGTTATTTTCATCTCAACAGTGGTACTAATCCTAATAGCACCAGTACTAAGTCAAAGTTTCATGTTCTGTTTTACATTCCCAATCTTAAACTCTTGCGATCAATTGTGTTCACTCTATAACTTTCATAAAATCCTTCCAAACTCAATTACTGATTAGATTAAACTTTTGTGATTCATTCTTGATTTATAACACCTGTGCTAAAATGCTATACTGGTATGAATATTCACCTACTTCTGTCAGAGCATTTAATGTTATAGCAATTTCCTTGCTTAAAGAGAAACATCAGCCGTAAAGCACTCTTTTATTGCTTCAATCACCAGAGAAACTCAACGAGGTTCCTTAAGACTCAATGTAAACTCAAATAGTAGAAGTCAAACCGAAATAAATCATCTATGCAAACTCTTCTCTTTCATCTCATGTATTTGGTGATATTGATTATATACTTCTCTTATTATTTTTGGAAATTTTAATTAGCTTTATTCATCCTCTCTTAAGGTCATTTATAGTTAATTTCTAATTACCATGGTAGGTTATGGTGTTATTATTAAGTTAGTGGATCAACCTAAGCAATATTACAATTGGACTATTGGCTAAATAATCTTCCACACAAGTAACAGGATAGCTTGGCAATTTTTGTAACGCTTGTGCCAAAAAAAAATAGATAAAAGAAAAAATAATTAAAGTCCATTTGTTTTTCCTTAAAGTATTTAAAGAGGAGCACCTAGTGGTTTAAAGTCCTTGTTACAACAATTTTACCATTTAAGTAATTAAAACAGATTATTTTTCCCCAACATTAAACCTTCATAAAAGTCCATTAATTAACATTAATGGGACCCACTTTTAAAATATATGATAGTGACTTGGCATTTTGGTCCAACTCTCAGTCTGGAGAAAGGTCTCTCTCTTTTTTTTCTCTCCTTTTCCCTCCTTTTTTTCAATCTTTATCATTAATTTTATTTTATTAAATAAATTTATTTTAATTATAAATTTGATGGAGGATGAGGATTGAGAAAAGGCGGGAAAAAGAGAGAACAGAAAGGGAGATCCCTCGCCCCTTTCGGTCCACCATTACCTTCTTACTATCCCCAGTCCCAAACAAGTACACCCCGATCTGCGTGATTTTGCATCCCCAAGCTTTAGCTCAACGCAAGTAGTTGAGCACAAATTAAACAAAGTTAGCCGCAACGAGGCATGTGAAGCCGTGGACGACACAACCGGTGCTGTGAAATTCATCGCCACCAACAACCTCTGCGGCACGGCGGCAATCGTGAGAGCATGTGCTACAAAGCTATACGAATTGCAAGTGCTGGCGGACAGGAACCATGACGATCCCGAGAACATGACCCAATTAAACTCCTGCTTCCTGCAATTTTAGAAGATGAGGGTTTCGTGAAGATGCTGCGATGATGATGACATGACAGCTCTCCTTTAAGCCTATAATTTTTCTATCTGAACAGATGGGCTAGCAAAACATGATTAAAAAATTAAAACATGTATCATTGATGAAGCTAAAATCGCCGACCTAAGGATCTACCAAATTTGAAAGAAAAAACTTCACAGATATCCCATTGATACTTATCTTCATCAGACAACCAATTTCAATAAAAATAGAATACTGAAGTTCAAAGATTCAAGCAAAAATGCAATTAGAAGCGGAGAGAGAAAGTCGAACAATGGAAATGGAAGTAAGAGGAAGGGGAAGCAAGCAATGATGCTACAAATTCTACCGATGGGAAAAGAAGACGCTAGAGGAATGAAGAGAGTGACGAGAGAGAGCGAGACAAAGGATAAGTTGCAAGGGGAAAGAGGCAGAGGGTGAAAAGTAGAACTAGATGGTGGGAGGGGGAAGATGACAAAGAAAAGTTTTTTTTTTTTTAATTGTTGAAATAATGTAAATTATAAAGAAAGCCTTTTTTTTATTGTTGAAATAATGAAAATTACATGGTTATTAACCAGGATTAACTTATGTGAGTATGGTGAGACCCATATCTCACATTAACGAACCTCACTTATCATTTAATAGTAAGAGTAAAATTGCACAATTTTAATTGCTTGAAGAGTAATATTATTATGACAAAAGCTTTATATCACTAAATGCTCATATTCAAATACTTTTAAAAGTAAAAATGAATTTTAACTTAAGAAAAAAGTGGTTTTACACTCAAAGGCATGGACTCATGAGGAATCTGATCGACAGTGTTAACGAATATCTGTGTAATTTTCAAGGGCAATGCCTCTGTTCAAGTTCAATTTTTGTGAGTCCGACAAAAATTGAAGTTGCATCTCCCAGGTATGAATTCATGCTACGAAAATTGGAAAATTACTCGGTTTTCGGCGGCCAGTAAATACAAGGCATATATAAGCTCGATTTTGTTCCCAATATTTTTAAAATTTTACAGTAGAAATCACAAGAAAAAAATATTTTGGAAAAAATAAACACCTAGACTAGAGATGTGAACGCCACCCATTCCTCAAGTGCTGAAGGACCGCGCATTTCTTCCTAAAAAAAATTCTGTTCTATCCTTTGCTCACACTATCCACAATATTTACGGCACATCTTTGAAAGGAAACCACGGATTTCTATTCAGTACTTGTCAGAAAAGCAATAATATTCTCCGTGTATGGTGTATACTGTATAATTGTAATTTTTACGCAACTAAAGAATATATTTGGCAAAGCAGATTCACGACCTACCAACAAGTCAAGACAAATTAGACAATCACCAAAGAAAAAAACTAACCCAAGGTGCAATAAAATAATAGGAGAGTGGTTAAGAGTCAAGATCCGCTTAAAATTTAAGCCACTCCATTGCTGCTAGACGATGTGTACGCCATCCATTCCTCAATGAGAATTCTCCACTGGGAAAGGAATCATCCAATATCTTTGTTATAAAGGAACCGAGTTGCCACTTGTACATGATACGAGTACAACTTAGTTGAACCTCTGCGAAGCCTTGCTCTGCTTCTCTTCCATGTCGTGCCTGAGTCTAAAGCTTCCTCCTGCTCGAAAGGTATGGAAAAATTTCACTTGTACAATTGGAAAACTTCGCAGGATTAACAAGTCCAAAGCCATTAAAAAACCCAGAAAGCATATGAAGAGGAGTATCCTTGTCTCATCCACCAAAAGGCCCTACAAGCTGCCTCCTAGGCGTTTCAGCCAGAAAAAGATACCAGGATTCAGGAGTGTTTTCTATGGCTTTCACAAGAAACCTGCGCCTGTTTATATTGACAAGCTCTTTAAAGAGCCGATCTGTGATGCAGTGAAGCATGTGAAGCCAGATGTGGCAGAAAATCCACCACACGAAAGGCTTCAAAGCTTCGCGATGAAGCAGAGGAAGTAGCAGGAACAAGCAATCGAGGTCGTGGATTTGACAGAGACAGAGACAGCAAAGCTTGCACATCGGATGATATGTGGGAGTCTCTGGCCTTAGCCTCGCCTCTGATGCAGGGAATAAATGAAAGAGCAGAAAAGTTCATAGCCCGGTTCAGGAAGGAGATGGTGGCTCAAGAGATATTAGCCAGAAATTTATAGTACTTAGAGTTAGACTGGGTTTCTTATGATGTTTCCGTTGCAAAAATTGAGGATAGCATTAGAGATAAGGATTTCGGTGAAGTTTATAGATTTAGTTAGCGATGGTGATTAATGTACATAGAGAAACGAACTGCGTGTATGATTTGTTTCTCTAGTGTAGAGCCTGTATGTCGACTCTCTAAGCACTATAAGATTTGCTTCTCTTGTATTTTATGTTACGAAAAATTGGGGAAAATATGTGAGATAATCTTGAAATTTCATAGACGAGAACAGAAGTTAAAGCGTTCAATGACAAAAGTACTTCCATATATCTGCACAAAAATGTCCCGGGAATGAATATGCATGAAACCTTAAGGCTGGTTTGATGTTATCAAAAAAAAAAAAAAGTTAAAAATAAGACTGATTTGATTTTAGGGAGAATATTATCCAAGGACCATTGCTGGGACTTATTTATAAATCAAACACAAAACAATCTGTAATATCATTGCAAGGTCTTCAGGTTGAAGTGAAATTAAATAAAAAAGAAAAATGATCACAATATCCTTCTTTAGTTAAATTGAAATATTGAACAAGACACATAATTTGTAATGTCCGCCTCGATATTACCAGAAAAACATGCTTACATGCTATTATGATAATCAAGATTTGATAAAATCTTCAGAAGAAGTTATCACAACCCAATGGTTTAAAAGATAATTAGTTAAAATAATGAAATTTTAAGAAACCCTTTTTAAAATATTATTTGAGTTCAAATCATAATTCAAAATTAATTAAATATGATAATTGAAGCATGGAAATCAAAACAGCAATTAAAACAAGCTGAAGCAAATTTGGAAATTCTCTAGATTCTAGCCAATCCACTACGGCGCAAGCCACGCCCGTTGTGGTGGATGGCACAGAGAGACGAGTCTCTCAAAGGTCACTTGTGCCAAGGCACAACTACCATGCGCCGCGATGCGCACCTACTGTTATAACAATTCTCCAAACTTTCAGAGTGCACCGTTTCGCCATCCGACGCCTAATTTGAGCAATTCAAGTGTCTACACAAAGCTCTTCTAGCCTTCTATCTAATGACACCAGTCTTACACTTAAACAATCATTCGTTAAAAAGATGGATACCTGAACCTAAAATGGTTAGTTTTCACTTCAAAACACAAACAAAAGTGTCTAACTCACAATGCCAAATGCCATTAGCCCTAGATACACTTTGACCACCTTAAATGAACCACATAAAACATGATAAATCAATCATATCATACAAATAATCATTCACACTTAAAATGACCATCAAACCCCCATTTGACAATAATACAAAACGGTGGATAAAATTTACCACGCATGTCAATTGATCATTTTGGCGCATAAATCACTTCGAATACATCATTTGTAATTGTAACTTGGTCAAACAGACACACTTAATCCACAACATCAACCTTGGACCAAGATATGCACACTTATCATAAATTCTTACAAGTGATAACAAAACAATGTCATGTTCCTAAGTTGGTATTATATAATGATAATATTCGTTACAAACCCAAAAGAAAAGGAGGAAGAGCTATACTACAATGCTCTTCACTCTTCAATTGCCCCTTTCTTTTCCTTGTCCCTATCGGAGGCCTCTCCTATAAGATATAATCACGAGATGAGATAAACATCTCAATAACAGAATAATTCACTATTATTAATTAACATGCATAATCATAAAAGAATAAAGCTATAAAACTCCAAAATATACTTTTAACATATTACAATATATTCCTTTCCATGAATACAAATCATTTAACACTAGTATGATCATTCTACCATTCGAGCTTCCATATCACCCTGATTGAAATCATAGGCTCTTAGACCAAGTGCACATTCATAATGGTCTGAGCTCACCTTCAATGGTAGGATTACCTTGCCAAAGGTGTCTTATCCCACTCCCGAATTATAATCTCCTCTTATCACACACAAATTGGGGTATCATTACTCCAACACTGTATCACTGATACTAAAGAGTGTCACTCTCCAACGCCACGTCCCACATAAATACTAAGAAAAAAATCTCCAACACCATGCCTCACCAGACACTAAAGAGATACATGCCATATGGACTTTCACTACTCCCTCCTATGGGTGAACTCCCACCCCTTAACATGATTTATGCTCACACTTATCATATATAACACATATATATTTTAAATTTTTCAACTAGTCCATATAAAACTTTCATCATTCTCATCGTTCGCAAATAGTTTTTCATGCACAAAATCACATTTTTCAATATGTAAGGTTATCAAATCTTAAGTAATAAATTTAACATATCTACTCATAGACAGTTAAGTAATATAATTAACTAATATAAATTATTTCATTACCTCAACCCTTTGTCACACGAAAGGGTTACTGTGACTCAATATTAGCTCTACATATTTTATATACACAAAGTAGTTTGAGCAACACTCAATCTACACAATCAAGTGACAATCATCAATTATTACTCTGGATAAACTTCAAATTTTTTAGGTCCTAAGTGCCTATATCACTCAATTTCTTTATCTAACCACACTGACTATTTCAAAACTCTAACCATTCTATTAAACATCCCAACATAAACAAAATCAATATCCAATTTTTCACATTGTCTTAAAACCTCCAGATTATGTCTAAGATTCATCCAAACCCTAACCAAAAATCTCAAATCGCCATAAAACTCACAAACCTAGGATTAGAAGCTTAATTTAACTCTCCAAAACCTTAAATAAACCAATGGGTTTGGTCTAAATTAAAAAAAAACTGAAATTAAAGCTCCCATTACCCCAAATGTTTAAATTTTTGCATAATGAGGGAGAGGGAGAAGAAAGGAAAGCTTACCCAATGTATATAAAGCTTGTAAGGCCTCTAAAATCACATTAAAAGCAAGCCCTAACAGCCACAAGCGATTCTCTATCGCTACTCTCGAGTACACTCTTTCCTCTCTTCTGATTTTTAGTCTGATTCACAATCTAATAAGTGCGTATTTTCCATATGCGCCGTGGCGTATAGCACAAAAAGTCTCATAAAATTTAAACTACCTTCCATGTCATAGCCTGCTCAAACATCAACTTAGCTCTCTTCTAAGGCTGTCTAAGGAATTAAAAACTATATTAGTCCCATAAACTTCATTAATCAATAATTTATCTAAATTGATCAATTTACCCTTAGAAACACCAATAATTATTAATTAGGAAACTTAAGATGTTACATAATTGATTTAACAAGGACAAAGGATTAACAAATAAAATTACTCATCTAATAGGTCAATTACATCACTTAAAAAAGTAACTTGATAGGTAAAGATTCATTACATGCTAAACGTTCAATGATTAATATTACTTGTTAACTCCTTATCATTATTTGTTAAATCTATTATATTACTCTTACGGTTAAAAAATGTACGATATTTTTAACTAAATTTCACCCCAATAAAAATAGTTGAACATCATCTTTTCATATTTATCATTATTTAAAAAGGTGTTTAACTTTAAAATAAATATAAAGTGATATATTTATTAGGGGACTTTTTAAAAAATATATATTAATTACACCTTAAAACACTAAAAATTACTTACATTTTTTACCATCCAACTTCTTAAAAAATGTATCGTTAGGTGCATCATGTTACTTGTTCAAATCTAATATGTAATAAATATTTTTTGTCAAGTTATTTTTTTTGTAAGCGCTGTAATTGATTTGTTAGACACGTAATATTATTTGTTAATCTCTTATCGTTACTTGTAAAGTCTATTATATGCCATGTTTAATTTAATTGAAAAAGGGATGTTTTGGTTATTTTGCTTTTTGATTTAATTTCAATTTAGATCTAAAATCCTATTGTGATATTTCATATTATTTTGAGCCTAATTTGTAAACAAGTCACATCATTGTCCTGAAATTCTCCCATAGATTTTATTATTATTTTAAAGCAGTTTAATAAAATTGTTTTTCATAACAAGTTGTGAAAATAAAAATATTTTTTAATATTCTTCATTTTTTCTAGATTTTGACTATTCTTTTGAAAAAAAACTTATAAACGAAATAAAAAGGTTTAAAAAATTGATTTGAAATAAGGTTTCAACAACATAAAAATAAAAAAAAAAAATTGTTTCATTTACTTATTTTCAAAATATTAAAAATCAAACTGATCATTGAACAATTGAGACACTAGTTCAAGGGCTAGTGTTTCAATCAGGGATCAAATGGGAGTCAGATAGGTCATGATTAAAAAAATATATTTTTATTATACAATAAATAATGAATATTTGGTAAAAAATAATGCACACTTGGTTAACTTTTTTTAAAAAAAATTTACAATATATAAACATGTACCTGCCTATTTGTAGCCTGGCACATATCATCACCCCCTCTACATATTAAACTAGAAATAGAAATACATGATTGGGATTTTGAATTTTTTTTAGTGCATGTTTAATTTCTTTTATCTTAATTTACACTATTTTAAGACTTTTTTTTTCCCTTGTGTGCTAGATTTGCCTTATACATTCACTGCCTCACCATTTATCTTTCCCTCTTGAAGCTCTCACGCTTGTTTAACATAAATTCTCTAGTAATCATCCTTTTATTAAAATTATCAAGAAAATTAAAAAATTTGTTATGAGAGACTAGATAATCATATTTGATCAAATCTTTAAAAAAGTGAATAAATATACTGATTGACTTGCACATTCAACTTCAAATGATAATTTAAATATCAGGATTTTTTTTTCCACCACCAAATGGGTGTAGGAGCTTTTTGTATTCTAACATTGAATTGATTTGTCATTATTTTGCACAGATTTTTTCATGGCCTTGTATTAAAAAAAAAAAAATTTAACTATCCTTGCATGCATCATCATCTTCTTCCCTATTCTTTCTTCATCTTCTTCCCTCTTCTTTCATCGAACAGACAAGCAGCATCAAGAGATAGAGACAAAGGTGATGAGATTTCATAATAGAGACACGATGAGAGATGAGAGGCTGTGAACTGCAAATGATTTGGGGCTTTGACGGACACATATTCAAGGGCAAGAGACACTGAGGTCTACGGCAAAGAACAATTTGGCTTGAGCACTAAGAATTTCAGACAGAAAATTATTTTTCTTGAAAAAAATCCAAAATGATGTCATTTTTGGGCTTTGACAGATTACAAAAAAAAAAAAAAACCAACCTGGCCAACCTGCTGGATTACACTCAAGTTAACCTAGGTTAACTCTTTCCTGAGTTGCCTCATAAATCAAACTGGCCAACTAGCTAGTTTACCGTATTATTGATCGAATTAGCCAATCCAATCCGATTTTTCATTCCTTGCTTATTTTATAAGGTTAATATTGAGATATTTGTTTACAATAAATATCTACTCTCTTCAATGAATTTTATCCTATAATAAAGTAGTTATTTATCTTTAAATTAATCCTATTTTTTTATATTTATCCTTATTTAATATGGTATTTCACCCTAAAATAAATATAAAGTGATTTATTCAACAGAGATATTTTAAAAAAAAAAAGGTAATAATTACACCTTAAAATATTAAAAATACTTTACATTTTTTAACATCCAACTCCTTAAAATGCCTTATATTTTTTAACATAAAAAGTATATAAATATTAATGAGCTAATATAATACTAATATTTACATGAAATGAATGAAAATGATGCAGTTACAACTAAAATTGAAATCATTTTAAACTTGCTGTAAGGTCTACTAATTCTTTAGTTGAATATATAACGTGTTAATTATTACTTACAAATTCCTTCCTCTACTCCTCAACGAGCGAAAAAAATACAAAGGAGGTTTCTCTCCCCACCATGTGGGGCTTAAGATCAGAGTATGAAAGGCTACATTCATTAAAATTATAAATTATTAAAATTATAAAATAAAATTATATTGAAGGTAAATCATCTAACTTTGAAGCACCTAAACTGTTTCCAATATTCTGTGTTCATTTTTCAGGATCGTAACTCATCTTGCTCAGTAGATTTGCACTGAGCGGAATTGATAATTTTAATACCAATTTGAGATTGGGCTCCGTAACTAAGTCACATTAATGTAAGTTCGGTAATACCGGACGAAACGGGAAAAATATGTCCCAATCAGTTTCCCGATATCTGAATAGCAAATTAATAGTATTTTTTTCCTCAAATTTTCACAATATTACACACGATTAATTCATCGATAATGATTAAATCACCTTGAATTTGATCTAATAAGCTTGTTATACAGGGTCACGGCCCAGATAAACTACAAACATAACAGAGGTAGGGTATTGCCACGGCTATACAAGGTGATCCAATCTCCCAAATTGTGGCATCAAGTCGTCAGTAATAAAACAGGCTGCATGCTTTTATGCCCACTGTGAAGTTTAGTGCAGAAAGCTTTTCATTGGATCATCGGGGTGGATTTTCTTCATCCTGTATGCCTCCATGTCCTCTGCAGTGACCTGTAGTAGATAGAGATGGTTAGAAAAATCTGAAAGAGGGGCCACGATAATTTCTCAATCAGCGGCTTCAAAATTCAAACCTCATCATTCCATCTAACGTTATATTTACGCTTCCTCTCATCTTTCTCTTCTCTCTTTCTCTGATCCTCCTGCATGAAACCAATGGAATACACCGATCAGCACAACATTCTCAAACACCATACACGTTTGAGTTCGCCTTAAAAGATTAGCTGACCAAAAAATTAATTACCACCTCCGGCCATATAAGAACCAACTCCTGAGGTAGTATTATGCAAGTACAAACTTAACCTATAATATAGAGCTCAAAAATATCATTATTTTGAGAAATAATATTCATCGCTTTTATTAACTCGAACTTTTCACCTTAATAAATGCAAAAATAACCAGAAACAAAACTATTAATAAATTTTTCACCCAAAAAACACTATTAATAATTCAATCAGAGGCTGGCAGAACGAGAAAGAGACAAAAAGAACGATGTCAGTACATTAATGCGAAAAAAAAAATTGATATTGACCTTTTTGAGCGCTTCAGCGAGCAATTTCTCGTCCAAAACAAGGTCATCAGGAACATCAGTTCCCCATGTTGCAAGCTTTTTCTCCTCTGCAGGCTTACGATCCTCTGAGAAAGGTTCACAGAAAAGAAATTTATTATCACAGAGGAAGCAACACATGATACAACAGAATTATGAAAAGATAATAACAAGCAGAGAAAATGGGAAGGGGAAGAAGTACGATAGAGATAATGGCACGTTGTCAGTTACCCAGCATACCTTCAACAGCCTCTTTACGAGCAATGTTAGCTTTCATGAGATCACTTGCAGCCTCAGCAGCTTCAATACCAGCAGCTCCTGTGCAATAGCTATTGCGTATTGTCTGCTTGCAGCACTTGTAACCCCAATGGTAATCCTTCCACCAGGAGCCCCAAACAGTAGTGTGGTTGTTAATATAAATATCTTCTTCATACTTGCTCTTAGGAAGTGCTGCCTCCTGTTAGAAGTACAGGATAAATAACTAAATCCATCATCTTAGAAGGAGCAATCAAGGACAATAAAGCACAAACCAAACGAATTTTCACTAAATTTCAGACTTCAATCAAGCGGTGTAGTTAACAGACTAAGGTAAATGGTCAATTTAAACCAACAACAAACATCAAGTCAGCTAAAATTACACAAGACAAAATGCAACATGGTAGTTAGAAACCAGAATGCAAAATGCAAATCTCACCTGTCCTTTTATAATTCTACCAGCACGGTCATACTCAACTTGCCTCTCACTTTGACCCAGAAGAAGCTCTCTTGGAAGTTTGTCCTCATCAGATGCATTGCCATACTTTGCCAGAATGGTGTCCTTTGTTTGAGACTTCAAATTTTCCTTCATTATCTTAAAATTCTTATAAAGCAACTCAGCTTGGGATGGAGCTGCTTGCATGTGAACATCTTGCCCCTTATCAAATGCTTCCCAAGCATGGATGTTTAATTCCTTGAATTCCAAAGCTTGTCCGCTATTTCTATATTGGTTATCACCCTGCAGCAGACAGCACATATAGTTTACATACAAGCTCAATAGATATATAGCATTGAAGCTATGTTACAAGAATTTCTATAAATTTCAATTCACAAGGAAAATTACCCCATAGAATTTCTCATTCGGATCTGCATCTGGAAGAGGATCCTCACGCATGGACCGTGTTTTGGGATCATAGTGTGCGGAATTGACATCGAGATTCAGCAGATATTTTGCAGTATCCTCACGAATACGCAGGTTCCTGGAAGGAAAATTAGTTAGTTCCTTTTTTTTGTTTTTCTATTCTTTTTTAAACTATATTTAGTTCTAATTAATTTATGATAATTGATTAACATGGGAAAATAATGGTCATCTAGCATACAGGACTGATCCAGTGGCCCCTGGATCACAGAGGAATGTAATAGCAATGATACCTCACAGTTCCCGTACTTCCACCACCTGTTGTGCGCACACGTTTCTCAACCTTTGCAAAGTCCATTTGTTTGCTTTCATCCACCTTAGCCTCATCCACTCTAAGATCATCTTCCTCTTCATCTTCATCACTGACTGCATCCTCACCATTTTTGTCGCTTTTCTCCAATTTCTTCAGTTGTTGTTCTTTTAAATATTTCTTTCGAGCTTCATCTCTAGCTTCATACCTTTCAATCACTCGAGCATAAGTTGAAGCATCATACCCATTCCATCGGTCCCGTTTACCATCATAGTCAAGCTCAAAAGTTTCAATTTTCTCATCAGGAGCAATGTACTTGTTTGTCCACTTCGCTCCTAATTTACGTGGTCTTTCCATGCATGACTTGGCATTGTGAGTCATAGCTCCACAGCTGAAACATGTAAATATCTATTAACTGATTTAAGCTTGAATAGAATACAAAAATATAAACCTTGGAATAGTCAAGGGACATGAATATAAAAGATCCCATGAAATCTTTGGCATTATCATCAAGAGAAATTTAAAACATTCATAATCTCACCCAAAAAAATTTGTGCTCAAAGAAAAATAAATTTCCTCTCCAAATGCAAACATTGACACATTAAAAAAAAAAAACTTTCACCTTCCTCAGCAAGTGGGACAAACTTCCACATCAAAGGAAGACCTGAGACTAATTTTACATTCCAAGAGATCACTCATCTCGTATGTACACGCAATAGACAGGAACATGAGAGGAGGCACTTACTTCTCACATGCACCCTTCCTAAACTTGTCGGCCTGAAAAGTTTTAGCACCCCTATCATACCATGATTTTGTGTAATTGGGATCTGATTTCCACTTCCTTTGATGTTTCAAACTCTACAAAAAATAAAAAATAAAAATGGTTTTCATAAATCAAATATCATTAGACAAGCTATACACATCTAAAAAAAAAGAAAAAGGAAAATCGTGACTTACAGGTCTCTCAGCATTAAGATACCAAGGGGCAGAAGACATGTATTGGGGAATATGAGGGTTGATTTCTTTTCCATCTTCGTCAACCTCTGCGGGTGCAAGCCCTGCTTTACGGGCTTCTTCCAATTCAATTTGTTTTCGATGGTCCTCCCTGGATTTAAAAGCAACTGCAATTCCCAACAAATATTTTACACACAATTAGGCAATTCAGCCGGAATAATATCGTGCAAAGAAAATGATATTAGAAAGGAAAATCCCGGGATCAGGTGCTACATAATATGGTGGGCAATCAAATAAACAACTACACACATAACCATGCTCAAATTTTCAATTCATGGGATGAGAGACAAAGCTCGTTCACAAATAATCCGCCCATAAATTCTACATGATTTTTTGTTCATTCCCTCACCGGATAGGTTTTCACTCCCGTTGGCATAGCCAGCGGCTCTTTTTATTGTGATTTTTTACACAGATCGCAAGCATTACAATTAATTATTCAACCGTCCTTTTGCTTGAAAGGAGAACTCGTCTATGGGGTATATTGTTTACCACACATGGAGTGAACAGCTGTGCTCTACAGACATGAACCAACAGCAAACTCTATTGCAAGAACGGTATGGACTTAAAACAGACAAATTACATAATCTAATTTCGGTATTTTGGAACCCTAAGTAATCCGACGCAGTTGAAAGCTAAAAACAAGTACCTGAGGCGGTCGCCATGGCTTCGCCTTAAACGGAACCTCAAAAAATCAGACGCAGAGATATGTGAAGTTGAAGCCGAGGATGAAATCTGAAAATCAAAGATTAGCGGCGCCAAGATATCAAGAGCTTTTATGATCGTGAGTTTTGTATTACGCACTTGAGTTACGATAATAAATCTCTCTCCGAGTCACGATGAGGTTGTTCTTGCAGAGGCGGTGCGCGTGCAGCCGTTTTTTTTTTTTTTCCCCTTAATATATGTTTGTTTGGTTAGTTTAAAATATAAAGTATTAAATAAATACTTCTTTTATTTAAAAATATAAAATATTTTTAATTAAATTTTACTTATTAATAAAATAATTAATTATTTTTTAATTAATTTTATTTTTTATATTTATTTTTATTAAATATTTTATAATAAATATAAAATTATTATTAATAAAGGTATCCTTAAAAAAATAATAATCATACTTTAAAAGATTAAAAATATCTTATATTTTTTAATATTTAATTTTTTAAAATTTTTTTTTATTTTTAAACAGGAGGGGTAATTTTTATTCTATAATCCTTCTTTATTAATTATTTATTTTAAAAATTTGAATTGTTATTATTAAATTATTTATATATAATATTTTAATAAGAATATAATTTGAAAGATATGCCATTTAAAAAAATTAGTTACTTATATATATATATATATTATATATATATATATAAGTCTTCTTTTTGTGCAAATTATCTGTATCATCCATCTGTGTGTAACTATTATATTTTATATTTAAATGATATCCCGTGTGCATACACATGATATTTGTTGGTAATTGTAACACACCAAAATTTTTTTTTTTTAAATAATTTAACTCAACCATAGTTGGGTTACAGCCACCCAACACATTTTTATATCAATAATTTCGATATAAAATATTTTATAATTGGCTTCAACTCACACACTATAACATTTCAGATAAATTTTTACCTCCCACATGCCATTAGGCTGAATCACATTTGTCCATCCTTATACTCCCAACAAGTAAACTAAATCACATTTGTCCATCCTTATACTCCCAACAAGTAAAATAAGCAATTTAGTAAATTTTCAACACAAGCCAGTTATTTGGCCTTATAATCATGCCATTTTAACCAATCCAAAGTAAACCAAATATTAAAATTACAGTCATCCAAATTGTACCAAAAATAGAAATAGTTTGAAAGGCATGATTACATTTATATATTCATATAATTGACAATAAACAAAAAGCCCTAATATTGGCAATATAACACATTATAAATCATAAATTAAATACCCAAAAGAGACAGTGGATCTATACCACTAAGCCTCTGGGACTCCTCCACGTGTCACTCGTGGCTCTTCTCCTGAAAATTGTTAACCACATAATGAGACTCAAAAGTCCCAGTAACCAAAGCCAATTTATGATTGTGTATACAAACAGTTAAGTGTGTGCTTACTAAGTGAGAATTAAAAATAATATAATTCCAACAAATATAAGAAATATTACAATACACACAAACAACCATCCTTATATCCCTCCATTAACCTCGAGCCGTAGCCCTCACTCGGTGCTAAATTACCCGGCCAAAGGTAGATTAGCCCGAGCCCTTACAAACCACCTATTGAGCTCCAATAGGGGCGTACCACGTGGCACATAAATACAATAACAATAGCAAGTCTCCCAACACCTCCCACAATAATCAAACAAATTCATAATAATATTGTACAATTATACAATATTACAAAATTCATAATTTTCTCAATAATCACCCAATTAACATGAAGTAACACTGATCACAAATTAAAAGCATGGTTACCTTGTGGCTTTTTCAATAAATTATTCCTTAAAATTTCTCTCTCACCACAATCTTCACCAGTAATACAATCTACAAATAACATATTATTTATAAATATTAGTTTCAATTTTTGAAACTAATAAATAATTCTAATAATAGAATTAAAAATATAACATAATTCCTAATCTCAATCTTAATACAAATCTATAGTTAATACTATTAAGTATAATTTTTAACTCCTCTTTTAATTATCAATAAACATTAATAATCTAAAAATCAACTTCTAAACTAATTTTTATTATCAAAATTTTTCTTTTTATTTCATAAATTCGTACCTAAAATACCCAAAAAATTAAAAATTAAATCTCTAGCTTAGAATCATAATCCTATAGCCATAATAATTCATTTCTCATCCTAAATAATCATCTAAACCTCAATAAATCAACATATATTTTCAGATCTAGTCTAGAATTTGATCCATAAGCCACAAATTCAAAGATCACCAATAAATTTATACTCTAGAATATTTATTATACTACTAACAACCTCAAAAACCATATTTATTCAACATAAATTCATCCCTCTTCCAGATCTTAAATTTTCTACCACTACAAACTCAAAAACAAAAGAAAAGGATGACTAAGAAAAATTTTAGAACACTTACTTAGTCTTAAAAAGCTTAAAATCACACCCTAAATATCCTATTAAAAACTCTTACCTTAAAAATTTAGATATTTCGCACCGGTGACTCGCGTTCTCTCCGCCTCAGCTCGCGCGCAGGAACGAATGAGGAAATGAAGGAAGGTGAGTTTTTATAAAAATTCAGTGGGTCCCACATTTTTTTAATTATTTTCTCTCTCTTCTTCTTCTTCTTTTTTATTATTATTTTATTATTGTTACTGTTGAGGCGGCGGACGAAGCAAATTCGTTTTCTTCTTCTTCTTCCTTTCTTTCTTGTTTTTACACCTTTTTTTTTATTATTATAATAATAATTTAATAATATTATTTTATTATTATTTTTTTTTATTTTTTTAAAATTATTTTTTTTTAAATTTTCTATTAACCCAAATTAACTATTAAAATTTATATTGGGATGTTACAGTAATAAATTTTTTAAAAAATCTGATCTTCATAATAAATCCATAAGGATTTAATTTGGAGCTCCCGAATTCAAGATCAAGAATAAGTAATCTATTAAATGTGCATAAATATTTATTATACGTAAGCAACCAAATTATTGATATAAAAAAGAAATGCGATGTACAATTTTTTTGGTCAACAAATGTGATGTATTTGGCCCAAAAAAACACGAATGTGATGTATAAATTAACACAATACATTTCTGGCAAAAAAAATTTATACAGTATACACCAAACGTAAAAAAGAAATTAAACGTAATACATTAACAGATACAATCAACTACTGTGGTCAAAGGAAAGAATAAAAATAAAACCAATTCAATCAAACCTGATGCAGATGTGAAATAGACCATTCAAAAATTAACTAAGATGTGAAGGCCCAGCCCAGCCCAAAAAACCATGGGCCGAAAACCACAATTAATACAAGTTTGAGGCTTGAGCACCGTCGACCATGATTGAGTTTAAACTGAGGGTTGGCTTTGTAAGCTAAAGAAGTATTTCAAAACTAACGAAAATCTAACAAAAGAGGTTAGTTACTCGTAGCACACTAAATTAAGAATCAAATTTTTATTAAAAAAAAGTGTTCACATTTGGTGTTTGACAGTGTTACAAACAAATGCCTTTCAATGAAAGGATACCTATTGGTAATCAAAAAAAAAAAAAAAGATGATGGCTGATTGCAGAAAGTAACAAATGAGAAAAAAAGAAAGAAAAAAATGCAATTTTTGATCTTTATAATTTTAATAAAGATTTTTAGTCCTTATAATTTTTTTCAGTATTTTTAATCCTTATAATTTTAAAAAGATTGGGTGAATTTTATTTTTCAAGTTCTTATATTTTTTATTTTCTTAATGGTTTTAATCTCTATAGAGATTAAAAATACTGAAAAAATTATAGAGATTAAAAATAAAATTTAATAAAATTATAAAAATCAAATATTGTGTTTTCCCAAAAAGAAAATAATTCCCATGGCACAAAACTACACGATCGTAAATTAACTTTTGGTTGGGGAGGCAAGGTGTTGAAAAGTGCATCATCCTGAACTTGACTGACTAGGCCCGATACTCTGACGTTCGATGGGTCAATTAGTTAGGGGCCGCCCCTCTCTGCCCCATCCATATTCAATCGGACCAATCCCAATCATTTCAACATATATGATTTATTTTGTATCGAATCTTGTCTTGCCACTTGTCACTACAACCATTTCTGTTCTTTAGATTTGTAGTTACATAACTCTCAGGTTCTTAAGTATCTCTCGCTCTACTCACAAGAGAATGAGTAAATCAAAACGGGATTGTCCTCTCAAACGAGCTAGGAAGAAAATCTGAATCTGTCACCTAATTCAACCTCTTTGTTTTGAAATCATCCATGATTTCACACAACTTTTATTATTAAAATTGGGACTGTCACCTCTAAAGTAATCTTACTACATGTTTAATTAATGCCGCAATCAATGCCTTCTTTATCTTTATACATTATATTAATAATCAAAGCGTCAAATAACGTTAAGTTTTAAAACAAAGTTGTTGGCAAATCATAGAGATGTCAACCGAACCAGTTGAACTCAAATTAAATCATGACTTGCTGATCATGAGTTTTCTGTGGAATAATAACATTGAACAGGAGACAAGTACCGGGAACAAAGGATATACATTGTATTCTTTGAACGTCGATCAGTGCGTACAGTTATTAATTAATGCCGATGTAACAAATCAACGACAGATTTTCTTGAACGAATGAACAAAAGTTAAAGTTCAATGAAGCACAACTTCACAACTGTGGTAGCTCCGTGAATTCCTCCGCTCTAGTGTAAACATCAAACCAAAAATCCATGTCATCGCTCATGCTCGACGAACTAACATGATCTGCTTCCACTCGCACCTCGTCTAGCTGAGAGAACAGAAACTGAGACTGAGACTCCACCCTGCCACATGCGGCCGGAATATAATCGGTAGTCTCCTCGGAATTATCAGCCGACAGTACTTCCGACCAGAAATCATCGTCCAATGCCAGGGCTCCTCCGGTGCAAGAGACTCAACGTTAATATTTACGGACATGTCGTCGTCGTTAGTGACATTATTACTAGCAGGAGGACTGCTAGTCGCCATACTGTTATCGTTGTTTGTGGTGAGGGTGGACGCATCGCTTGAACTCTGTGAGGAGAAAGTGGTCTGTTAACGTTCTCCGTCACGATGTGTTGTTCCTTCTGTTTTGGTTTTCGTTTTGTTTGGAGATGGTTCTGTTGGTTCTGTGGAAGCCTCTTCTTCAAGTGCGTGTGCCACACATTCTTTATTTCGTTGTCTGTGCGGCCCGGTAACTTGGCTGCTATTGCTGACCATCTGCAATGATTAAACATCATATTAGCATAATTCGGATATAGGAAATTAAGTGACTCAGTTGTTAATGTAGTATATTATTACGTTTGGTTTATATCATTATCTGTGATATGCACTAACGAGACAGGTAGCAGTACCAGCCGCTCGTTGCTCAGAGACCGGCCGACATTAATTTGCTTTTGAGGATTTAGTGGATTTTTTAGAATATATAATAGGATTATTACAACCACGCGGAAAATGTTGCAGCCAGTGAGGAATATTTCTCTGAGAGCATGTCCATCATCTGTTATAATTATGAATCGCAATAATTCCATTGAGAGAAATAAAGAACAGTGTTTTTGGGCCCAACCCGTTTTACCCAAAAAATAATAATAATAATAATAATAATCTTTTAGGACTGGAATGCTCCCAAGAAAGAAAAGATTTTACGTTTGCATTTTGCATTCTCTAGCTCCTTCATTAGACGAACAAACTGGTCATTCATCAATGTCATATATACGAGCTTATTTCTTTTGACTAACTAGTTTGTATATATTATTCAGTCCGTGACGTTAATGTGAAATACCTGTTTCCCAGCATTTCATGAAGCTTGATTATGGTGTCCTCTTCTTCTGGGGTGAACTTTCCTCGTTTGATGTCTGGCTTCAAATAATTTATCCATCGGAGTCTGCAACTTTTTCCGCACCTTAGAAGCCCTGGAGTGCATAGAAGAGCAGAGATTCATTATAAGCAAAAGACAGGCAGAGGGATTGAAGGTCAGAAGAATTAGTTCGATAATATTGAAATAATTAGAATCAATGAAGGATCATATATAAATAAGTAGATACCAGCTAATTTGGGGAGAGCACGCCAATTGCTGTGGCCATATTTGTTGACATGATTGATCAGTATCTGATCTTCTTCTGGAGTCCAAGGACCTTTCTTCAACCCCACTTTCTGGCAGCAAGGAGCTCTTCCCATGTTCTGCGATCTCTCTCTCTCTCTCTCTCTCTGTGTTTCCGCCTGATTCCGAAGACTGAGAGATGCTATATGTCCGATTTATATACAGAGTCGTGGGACTGGCGTATATCTGGTCTTTCTATATCCATACATATATATAGAGATAGATAAAGTTAGACCAGCCACTCAGACCTCAGAAAAGTCCAAAGTTCATTTCTGAATATTTCTGGAAAAGGGATATATCATCGGCCACACTTGGACGATCTCTCCTTCTCGGAAGCCTCTCTCTCTCTCTCTCTCTCTCTCTCTCTCTCTCTCTCAAGCAAGTGCGTTTTTATTTAATTATGATTATCATAATATAATTACAATCCGATGTGAATGATTATATCAGTCAAATAAAACGTGGCACTTTAATTGGATCTCTCAATATTATAGTATTATTATTATTATATATTTCAGGTGCATGCACAGATGCACTTTTCTAGCTTTCCTATCCCAATAGCAGGCTGGCAATCACTCCTGCTCATGCCACTTATTCTGACTGTCTTCAGTCCTTTTTTTTTTTTTTAAAGGCTGTCTTTAATCTTAATTGCAATGTCGTTGTATATCATGCTGTGTACGCTAGTCTCTTCAAAAAGCACCTGTCATGATCTTCAACTTATTATGGCAATTATACAAGAACTAAACTCGATCATCTTTGCTCTATGAATGAAATGACATCTGCTGTATCGAGGTGTTTCAAAAAAGGCGCTTGTTTTTATGAAACTTTCCTCCCGAAATAAATAAATATCATTGTCGGCTGGGTTAATTTAAAATCTTACCTTTCGATGTTTTGTTTGTATTACTCGATTGTGTGTCATTTGAATTCCATTCCACTTGTTCTAGTTAGGCTGGTTTCTAGTGCTGTAAAGCAGTTAATCTCCGCTAAATGGTGCTGTAAGCTCATTCCGATGAATCTTACAGTGATTGTGTAAATTAATGTAAGCCTAAGAAATGGGCTATTTGCGACTTGTTTTCTAGTTATCATAATATTGTTATTTTCACATATGAAAATTGAAAAAACAACTCTTAGGTCATAAGAAATATAACTACAGAAAAATCTCATAAAAATATAAAATTATTCTGAAATCCAATACGAGTGTTACTTACTGAAAATTTTAATCTATTATATTTAAATTGTCAATTAATGCTAGACAGTAGTAAGTAGTTAGTTGGAGTTGTTTAGTGGATAACTAAACAATAATAATTAATAATTATCTAGTAGTAATTAATAACTTCAATCCATAGAATCAGACTTTATGGAAAAATTTTATGATTTATAAGATTTTTTATATTAGATTTTTTTTTGACCAAATTTTTTATATTTAGATTGCTTATATAGGCTTGAAAATAGTGATTTTCCCGTGAAATTCATATCCATTCATGGTGGTACTGTGCCATGATAGACACGTGCTTCTCGATTTCTTCAAAAGCTTGAATAAGACTTATAAACTCCACCCCATCAAGACCCCGCCCAAAGAGGAGGAACACGAACACCACATGGCTGTGATTTTTAAGAAAAACGGGAAAAGAATTCAAATGATAACTGCATAAAGATGGTTAATATATATACATATATATAGTTGGGGCAAGATGGTTAATCAAATGATGCTGGTCACTAATTCAGTGTTTAATATTAAAATAGGCATATATAAAATGGTGGAGTCACTTGATTGTGAGGATGGGCACCTCCTCACTCTAGAATAAATTATAAATAGGGGTGTAGATTTTATAATTTTATGTCCCCACTCTTAATATTTTGCATCATATGAACTAAATAGAAAATATTTGACCTCAAAAAGTCACTAAATATATAATATTTTAATAATAAAGATAAAATATAAAAAAGATATTTACTGTTCAATATTATTTGGCACTCCTGCTACTAGGCATGGCATGGCAGGAGATATTTGTAAGTGTATATTTATATTAAAAACTATATTTTATTAACACGTGTGATTACTCGTATATTATTAATGACAAATAAAAACACCAGCTCGTGCATTCCATGACTATCGATATGCAGTCATGCAGTATAATATTGTTTCCGTTTTAAATTATAAAATGTTATTACTTTTGGAGGAAATTTTATTTGAAATATAAGACATTTTAAAAAAATTAAAATTTTATTAAATAAGTTTATTTTAATATTATTTTTTATTTCTATTTAATTTTCATTCTTCTCTTTTTTTTAATATATTAAATGCAGATTATTTTTAAAATTTGTATTTTTATTTTTAAAATATAAGATTATTAAATTTATTTAAAATTTATTAATATATAAAATTTTATTAAAATATTTTAAAATTTGAGTCGGGAAGTGTTTAAAGCAACCATGGTGAACAGACCAACATCATAAAAAGACAAACTGGCCACCAGTAGAAGTAGTAGTTGGATGGCTGGTCATTTTCTGTATACTGGACCTACTGACCGACCTACGGACCTTCAAAATTTGACATGAAATTAGAAAATCTGCCACCTATCAAAATATTATTAATTCAAAAAAGAATTAAAAGAGCGAACCGCTACTAATTGGCAATCGCGCCTACATACTTTTCATTGATTCGATCAATAATCTTTTTGTAAATCAGTGGTTTAAATATGTTTGATTAATTTGATTTTTCTGATGAGTCAATGTTGTCCAGCAGATGGCCCCGGGGGGAAAAAAAAAGTTGTCCCGCGACATTGTATGCATTTGCAAGAACCACACTACTATATTTTTCCAGTTTTAATTTTCATAAACTGATAGACCTTGTATAATTTTACAAGTCGTACTTCGATATAAATAACACAGCATTCGGTTATTCACAACTTATCATATATAATTAACAAGCAAATATTTATTCATGAACAAATTAAAAAAATTGATAAGCCTGCCTTGATTTTAGAAGTCTTGCTCATGTATAAAAAAAAAAAATCGGCTATTAACAAATTATCATTCATAATGAACAAGCAAAAATTCATTCATGAACCAGCTACAAAATCTTATAGGCATGATTCATTATTTATAGTCAAATGGTAACTTATCAATGGCCAATTGTTTTGTTGTTTACACGGGAACAATACTTGTAAAATCAAACAAAGCCTATTAATTTTGGTAACTTGTTTATGAACAGATATTTACTTGTTAATTACACATGATAAGTTATCAATAGCCGAATGCTTTTTTATTTATGTGGAAGCAAAACTTGTAAAATTAAACCAGGCCTAATGCTTTTTTATTTATGTTTTTGTAATTGTTTATGAACGAGCGTGGCTTTTTAATTACGTTTAGTGACTTATCTCAATAGCTGAATATTTTTGTCGTAAAACACTATAAGGGTAATTATGTCTCTTCCCCCAGAGCTGAATCTTATTTCCAGATAGGTCCCAAGGGGCACAGTAATATTTCATATTTTTGGGATCATTCCTTTGATATTAAAACGTTAAGGGATCCTCAAACGATATTTTTTCGAAATAAAAGTGGTTGTTTAATTTAAGTTGTATAAATTCGTCGGATGACAATGAATCAAGTGATTGAAGCTCCTTGCCTGATGTAAATTAGTAGAAAAACGAGAATATTATTATATAGTTGATCACTTAGCTTACCATTGAATGATCTGCACGGCTCAGATCACGTCACCGCGTGTGCAGATTAACCTCAACTTACTAATTTTATCATCAGCAACAATGCAACATGAGTTCGATAGATATGAAATAGTCTAAATTCAATTTGTCTTAAATATTGACCGATACCATTAATTATTTTTTAAAAGAATTTAAAGATAATAATCATGTGTAAAATGATAATGTAAAAGATCATTAACTAATACCAGACGTGTGTCCTTGGGAGAGGGAAAAAAAGGCGCGTGATGAATTACTGAATTTTGAATAGTCAACATCTAAGAAAGAGAGGTCAAAAAAAGGAGGCCAAGTAGTGCCGAAATATGAAGGGCGGAAGTTATTATTTATTAATATATAAAGAAAATGGAACAGTTTCGAACATTGAAGTCGAAGGCGGATGAATAAACCTGTCCTCCATGTACGACTTTCTCAATGCATTTTTTTTTATATGTCTCCCAACCTACCCTTTCTTAATTCGGACCTCCTCTACATGCATAGTATGTGTTACTTTCATTGATGTCCTATGTGATTGGCGTTACGTATCTACCACCATGATTCTCTCCTCTTTCATCTGATACTTTTAAATTATGCTATTCTCTTTAGAGAATAAACATCGCATGATAGATATATGCATCCTCCAATATATTTGAATTAATTTATCAATTAATATGTGTACAATTTAACTTTTCTATTACGTTCATCCAAAACTACTCTAGCATGGGAGGCGCTATGCAAAATTCAGGAGGGCAAATGCACCCGTTAAATTTGGAGACAATTACAAGAAGGGGTCATAGGTTTTACTATTTTGCACCCTTTAATCCAATTTTAAACATGTTTGGGTTCCAAAAAAATCTTAAATATATTCAGATAAAGCCCAAAAAAATGTCGCACCCTCTGATTCAGGGTCCTGACACCGCCACTATATTCTAAACAATTTTTTTTTTCAGTTTTTTTGACCGAACTGCTCTTAACTATTATAATGGCTTTGATTTATTTGTGGTTGTTTTTCACATGCAACGATTTTCCTGGTCAATGAAAAAATGTAACAAATTTTATTTTAAAGAATGGGGTTTGTTAATTCGGGCAAGGCTTAGCTTGATTTTGTCCAGTTTAGAAAGGCACAGAACGTAGACAAAGTCGATGACTACTTGCATTTATAAAACTCAACTGATGAGTTGACCCAACCAGGAAAATTGGAGTTGTGCTGGTTTCTTTTTTTAAAATAGGGGTGTTCAGTCTGGATCTCTCTCGATTGATCCGGTATCATCCCGATCACATCGGGACAGGTCTTGTCCCGGCTCGAAAATAATCGAGACCGGACTTTACGAGACGGGACAGGAAAGGAGTTTGGGACGGGATAGGACACAGAATTACCATTGGGACGTCCCATCCCATCTCGAATATTATATATATTATTTTTTATTTTAAATATATTAATTATATTAATATAATTTATATTTATATTAATTATATCAATTATAATTTAATACTTGCAATTCTTATTTAAAAAAAAGTTTTTTTATATTGATAATTTTAATAGCATGGAGTAAACATGGCGATATTTTTCTTTATAATATATTAATTATATTAATATAATTTATTTTTATATCTATCTATTTAATA